ATACTTGAATAGTTCAACTTCAAGTATGATTAGAGTAAGAATAACTTGAAGACTTTTTCATATTTCTGCAGGTTTTATATTTTAAAAAAAATTACTGTACTGTATCAGGTTTGTTTTTTTATATTACAGATGTACTGTATCTCAGTCTACGTCAGTTTTATTTATGTTTACAAAACACTGCACATATTTTAAAAACACTTTATTTTCCATGGTTGTTGACATGTTTAAAATAAAAATGTTTAAATGTAATATATTTTTCTCCTGGTCTTTATTTTAAATGGGTCATAAAAAATGTCAATAATTATCGATATCGACCAATATGAAACACTCATATCGTGATACAGTTTTCAGTCATATCGCCCAGCCCTAGTTTGAAGTACGAAAACAAAATTTCACACACGTAACTCATCGTAACCCCTCTGCAACGACAAAGTCTCGCAACAATCAGCGAGTGTTGAACCAGTCTCTACCTTATGTTTTCATTGTTGTTATATATTGATACCTATACAGGAAGTTATTGTCAATTCATTGTTGTTCATGAAATGCTGTTTTGCTATTGAAAACGGTTCTGAAGCTCTGACTTTGAACAAAAATCTGATGTGGACCTTTGATCAAAAAGTTTAAGAACCCCTACTCTACAACATCGAGTCAAGCATCCTGATCATACGGTACCTTTTGCATTTTCTTTCCATGTTAGACTTGGCCGTTTTACATTAAGAACCTTCCAAACAAACCAATCAAAACCTCCAGCAGCTCCTCCTCTGGCTGTGGGGTGGGCTTCAGATAAGTGTATCTTAAAACAAGCCGGGAAGAGAGGCCGTTCCACACAAAACGGACCTCGATTTAAAAAAATGTGGCACGGGGGAGAAACTGGGAGGAGATAAGGGAGGAGTTTGAAGCTGATGTCTACAGTTTTATTCACCAGAAAACCATCTGTCCCATCCAATCAGACACAGCTTGCAGCTTCACTAGAGTAACTTGGTTTTCAAAACTAAAATCATGGATGTCCTGAAGTCTACTAATAAAGCAGAACTTCAAACTGCCAAGAATCAGTCTGTATTTATATGCCTGGAAGTGTGACAATTTCAGGATACAAATGTGTGGAATTGTAGAGGAATTCACAGAGGACAGTAAGCATACTTGGGACACCAGCGGCCTTGTACTACTCCAGTTTAAAAGGAAAATGACAAAACTAAGAGATCATGTTAAGATGAATGTTAGAGAGCACTATTCATGGATAGATACAGGCAGCCAGAAGCAGACAGGAAAGAATCAGGAGCAGTATAATCCTCCCACAGGAAACAAGCATGTCCTAAACGCTTCAGAATGGTGTCCGTTCCTGGAGCTAATCGACCATCGTCCGGCTCGCGGCTGTCATGGGTAGAGAATCCCACAAAAATGAGGGCTTTACCCTCTGATATCATCCTAGAAGGCCTGGGAACAGCCCTTCCCCACAGGCACCACAACCAGACGTCTCTGACCCAGGTCACATGCCTGTTCTTGAACTATATCATAAGCTTGATGGTTCAGGGTCAAGCTACCAACCTTAAAAATTAAAAAAAAAAAAAACACAGATTTTATAGCTGGGGTAATCTATTACCAAGGCAGCAATCCTCCCACCCACTTGGACATCAAAACTCTTAGGCTGACACTCACCCCTTCAATGCCTCTTGTGTTGGGTTCCAAGGCTGGTGGGGCACTGAAAGGAGGCAGTGAAGCAGAACTGTCCAGCTCTCCTCCATCTGCAGCAAGAGACGGGTGGTGGTAGAGAAACCAGGGGAGCAGGACAAACCTACCCCAAGCTGCCCCCCCAAACCCAAGGTCACAGGTACTATCCCCCACCTACTGATATCGTTCAGATTTCCATCATCCTCCATAAATGGTAGCACACATAAATCGCTCACTTGTCATGCTAGTTCTGCAACCTCCACTTTCTCTGGCTAATTGGTGCATTATTACAGTTACATGAGAATGTGCTCAGTCAGAACAAATAATTTATAACATTATTACTTAGACAAAAGCCATTGTGGTAAACAACAGTGCCACTGCATATTACATATCAATTCAAGGCTATGCTAAGTGGTGAAAGGCAACACTAAGGCAACAGAAGAGGTTGTTCAATGTTTGGTAGCATAAAATCTGCCACAAGTAATCATTAGCTACCTGTGAACAGGCTGTGCTTACCTAATCATCAACAAAGACATAATACAAAGAAGGACCTTATGAACCTTCTGATTAGAAGCCTGATAAACCCACCTCAAACAGTGCTAGGTCAGAACTTACCTTTCTCAAGAACAGGTTGTGGGCCTTCATCCCCATACCAGGCGCAATCAGAGTCCTTCCTGTCGGTTTGATGCCCAGCACTTTCAGAACCCTCATCCACTCTCTTGGGCACCTCAGAAAGCTCGGGGCCAAGGGCAGAGTCACTGGAAGGTTCGATGAGGGAGAGGAGGTCCTCCCCCATGCTGAGGTACATGGAGTCATACTCTCCAGGGGTGCTTGAAGACTCTTGAAGAACAGTCTCCCCGATCGTCTCCAAAGTTCTTACTGGTACCACAAGGCCACCCTCAATGCCATCCGAATTATGAACAGAGCAAGCAATCGCCTCCGTTACGAAGTTCTCTGTACTCATTTGCGGTGAAGACTCCTCTGTAACACAGCACAATTCCTGGGCCGAAGTTTCCTCTTTGGATTCCTCAGACACTGTCTGTTGAATCTCGGGTTCCAATTGCTGACAGCTTACAGGCACAGCACTGGGGTGGCTCATAAGTGCCATCTCAGAGAAGTGTGAAATATTCATTTCAATAATCACAAGTTCACCCCTTTCATTTGGTTCACTGCCTGCCTTCATAAGCACCTCAGTATCGATTGCGGTAGCAGTCTGGCCCTCTACATGAACGTCAGTGCCGTGTGTGTTTGTGGGAGATTGTGTTCCAGTGATCTTTGACCTCAGAGTTGACTCTTGACCTTCCCGGCTCTCCTGTCTCAATTCAGACTCCTTGCTGTCCCCTGGCAACCCACAGCTGTTCTTGATCCCTTTTTGGATTTGGTTATTGATGCTTGATGCTATGCATGATGTGTCTGGAGAAGGACTCTGACATAATGTGCTCACTGTGTCCTCACAGGATGGAGACAGTGAGCTGAGCTCTGTCCTTTCCAATGTCAGTGACTGCTCAACCTGTAAATCTCTGGAACATTCTGCAGGCATGTCAGAACTAGAAAGTAATGGGTCCTCCTCCTTTTCAACAGCCTTTCCCTGCACATCTTCACCCTGGAGCCTGACCCCATGATTAGCTAGAATTTGGTTAATAGGTTCTGTTATTTCTACCTCATGCAGGTAGAGGATCTCAGCCACAGGGCTGCTGACAGGTAGAAAGGGATACTCATTGATGGAGGACATGTCTACGCCCTGCAAAACCTCATCACCAGCTAGGTCTCCCATGCAGATGCTACTGTTGTCCCCATTTCCTTCCAGTGAGGAGATACAGACAACATTGTTTTCAGTGGGGACATCTTTGTTTAATTGGGGCTTTGCATAAGGAGTACTATCTTGGAGCTGTATGTGAATCATCTGTGGTTCATCCTGCAACATGCACTCCATGAGTTCTGGTAAGAACAATGAGTCAGGTGCACCTGAAGCAATGAGGTCAGGTACCTCAAACACCCGATTGCCTAGTTCTGCCATCATACCCAGAGGGTGTTGTGTAGGCTCTGCCTTTGGAAGTTGATCACTTGCACTGAAACCTGATTCAACGCTCCTACTGCTTAGTTCATCGGGGTCTGTCTCCACCCCCAACCTGGAGAAAGACTCTCCACAATCACTCGGTTGATGGTCAGACTCTTGAGGTTGATTGTCAGTGCACACCCGTGTGTTATGACAATGCAGTTCAGCGGTTTCCTGGCTTTGTTCACTGACATGGATCTCTGACTGAGCATCTAGCTCACACAGGCTTTGACTTTCAGTCAACAAATCCAGACAACTGGACAGTGGCAGGACAGAAGTGTCTGCAGGTGTCTCCATTGCCCCTTCCACCAGGCTAACTGAATCTTGGTCTTTCAGCATGGTTGCATCATCACTGCCTGCTTCCTCTTTCGTACCATGAAGAAAGTCACTAGACCATTCATGTTCTTTCACTTCACAAAGTTCTGTCTCATGGGAGTGCTCCTCCCTTTCTCCATCTGCTACGCCAAGGGGCTCCTGGGACTGCGCTGGGTCCATGGATATCTCACTCATGTTCTCCATTTGTGATACAACGGCCTCCTCCTGGCTCTCCTCCCCAGTTTCAGCTGAGTCACCCTGACACGTGTCAGTCGCGCTCACTGCTAAATCACTTTCCCCAAGCTGTGTCCCACAGGACAGGGGGGTAAAATCAGACATCTCACCCTGTACCACAAACTCATTTTCCTCCGATGCCTCCTCAGAAATCTCTAAGCCTTCGGCATGTGGCTCCACTTCCCCTTCCATCTGATCAGACACACCATTCTCCATACCACCATTGCTCAACGGATGCTTTGAGCCCTCAGAACTGTTACTGGAATCTTCCTCCCTCTCCCTCTTCTCAAAATGACCGACCTCAACAGAGATCTCTTTCGGATGTTGCTCAGGGGCATCCAGAATAATTGTCTGCTCCATCTTATCAAACAACTCTTGGTGCAAAGGAACCAGATGCAGTTCTTTTGTCTTGTTTGTGCCGTCACTGTGATCAAGCCCAGAATTCAGTAGTTCAGTCTGCAGCTAGAATGAAGCAAACATCACTTGGAATAAGTGAAAAGCTAAGGATTTTTGTATTTTCTGCTTCACAGTGACTTATTCAGTCAACAACTCTATGGCTGCAAAGACACTATTCAGTAGAATGTAAGTTTACATAGAAACTTCCACAGCAAAGTACAGTTGCAGGAGAGCAACAGAGCCTATAAAAGGGGTGTGGCTAACCTTCCTATCTCTGTGGCAGCCAATCAGGTGTCGCAGCTCATCCACATCTCTCTGCAGGTCTGGCTGGCTCCCAGGAGGTGTGGCCACCGTCAGGGTGTATGTGTTCAGCCGTGGGTGATGCCAGACCACGCTGTCTCCTAGGCAGATTCGTTGGGACGTCTGAGACCGTGTCCCCAGGGCTGTCTCCTCCCTGCCCGACACAGCCAGCCTGTTCAGCCTTATCGCATGACACCCACACACAGCCGCTTTCCCAGCACGACTTGAGAATAACCTTCATCTGCTTATCTAACTTAAGGCAACATCGACCATCCTTTTAATTCTCTTGTATATGGTGGTCAATAGCCAAAATTCTTAAACATTCCTTTTCATTAGTCTGGTTCACTTGACGACTAGCATTTAATTTTATGGTTCATTTACCCTGCCTTAAACTGTAACAACCAAAATTTACACAAAGCGCCCCATAAAGTTGTAAACGTGACATTTTGCAACAAACTTATTTTACTACGATTTGCATGGTTCTTCCTGTTATGCTAGACACAGTCCAAGAGTCTTTAAGGTAACTGCAACAAGAGTAGTGATGCTGGGCTCAGTGCGGCTGAAGTTCAAAGCCGGCAAGCTGAAGGGCAGCTTCCCTTGGCCTGGCTAATCTCATGCCTCGGTCAATTTCACATCAACACAAGATTACATTCTTGGCCTTGATGTTACCCTTGAGACCGAAAATCGTAATGACAAGGCTCTGGAGAAAAAGAACCGCCAGGTTATCGAGTTAGACGTCAACTGTATTTTTATTTTATTTTATTTTATTTTATTTTCCACCCAACACGGGCAGAATTAATTTTACGAATTCTTCACATGCCAGTTTACTGCATCACACCATTTGTGCCGAGGACGCCATGTTAGAAAGGGCCGATCACTTCAGGGCGACTGACCGTGCGAATAAATGCTGCAGTTGTCGGTGGCCCCTCTTCTCAGCCAGGCCCTGTGGGGTGACCCCCTGCCGATTGGGCAGCCTGAGGGCCTCCCTGCCCCCTGGCTGCTGGAGCAGGAAGACCGCCACGTGCCGAAGACCTCGGCGAGCCGCAAAGTGCAGGAGGGTTTCCTGGGGAGCGGGCTCTGGAAGGAGGGGGGGGGGGGGAGACAGGAAAACAACAGCAAGACAAGACAGGAAGTGAACATCGACACAAACACACAGACCATGTGACCAATAAAACAAGGGCGAAACACCTGTGAAACACTCAAGCCAGTAAAAGTAAGGTCATATTCTCAGTCACATGCATCTGAACACAGCACCGCCTGAAACCCCACCCCCTAGGAGCACTGGGCATGTCCTGCCCCAGGATCACAGTATGGAGCAGGTGCAGGCTGTTTTTGGAAACCGCAATGTCACCGTCTCTAAAAGGCTAAGTACGGCCCAGATTTATTATGCGCTTAAGCTTTTAAAAGCTTTCACCCGTATTGTCCTCTTCTCTGAAAACAACGCTGATCCGGTGCTTTCCGTGGACCTCTGAGGATCCCGATGTCTCCATCATCATCATCGATCACGTCAGCCGTCTCTCAAGAATACGAATGACATTAAATCCGAAAAAAATTACAGGAAAGCCAAAAATGAAAAGGTTAGCGTGTTAGAGGCACGACTGAAGCAGCTCTCTGAGATCTTACAAAGTACGGGGAAAATCCGCTTTTGGGCAGGACTATCGGCAATTAGGGCTGGCCTAATCAAAGCAGGCTAATAAAAGGCATCTGAGGGGATGACTTACAGCGCGCTGGAACGCGGCTCTTTGGCTTCTACGGCGCGGCCCGATTCTCAGACACGGTATTCATCACCGTGAGAGGAATGCCGTGAATTCTCGACCCTAAACCCTTACGGAAAAAGTTTCTGCCCAGTCATAACCACGCACATTCACGAACACTGGACACCATATATGGATTGCCGGTTTAAAAATGGCAGTCCTGGTCCCACGGCCTAAATGGGTGGCATTGTGCCAGTTAGGAATGCCCCAGCAGGCACACTCGGACTCACAGCTGCCTTGGCTCTGTGGGCTCTGATCGCACACCCCTCCTTAGTAACCAGTGGGTCCGATCAGCGCCAGCCGGCCCATGGGATAGGCCGCCAGTCAATCGTTCTCTGGCAAATGCCCGTATCCTGAAGTAGGAAATACCAGTGGGCAGAGTTACACGGCTGTAGTTATTCCTCCTTTTCAAATGTTTTTTAAGTTCCTCCAACCTAGAGACCAAGCTGTCCTCTCATACACGGACCAGCACCATGTGTTTCCATCCCCACCAGCAGCAGCAACCTAAAACTCTAAGCCTGTTCCCCAGTGGGAGTGTGCAAAGGCGTTGCCCGTCCAACACTCCCCTCACTTACCCCCAAGGGCCTCGTTCGGTCAAACCACATCAATTAACCTCAGTTTACCAGATGCCATTATAACCAGCGTGATCGTCGCTTGTCAGTTTGATCAAACAATTTTCATTCCAGCTGTTTTTTTTTCCTTCCTGCCAACCAGCCAAATCAACATTTACAGTAACGAGGTAGGTCACGGTGAGCAATCACTGAGAAGAGGAAAAAAACCACCGCAGAACGTCAGCAATCAGCTTGTGTGGGTACAGATAAAACCGGATTTACACTACAGCGCATTCACTGTGTTTCAGGAGCAAACGCAGTTTATTTTCAAAGATGGCCTACATGGTAGCAGAAAAGACCTTAAATTACACTAAGCGCTGGGTACGAAGCGTCTGGCCTGGTAAAGATACAAACCACTCACACATTTGGCCGTATCTGTAGTTAAAAATAATCTGGAATTCTGACCACAGCAGGTTACAGTAACTTCCTATTTCAGGTTAACCGCTCATCAAGCATGTTGTTTAGATGCCTGGAAGTCTTTATAGCATATAAACAGTTTGAAATAAATACCGCTACAAACATGCATGAGCAAATATTAGATTCAGGAGTTTTTAAGCCCGGTAACTGCATTTTGCGTAGTAACTAATTCAGAAAGTGTTTCATGTGAAACGAGCAGAGGAAAGTCTAACATGACGCTGTGGCACATCGCTGCCGTCTAGGCATCCAAGGAGACAGAGAAACATCAAGAGTGACGTGTGAGCCGGGGAACAGCGGCGAGAAGAGAAAAGGAGAGTGAAAGAAGGGGGGGGGGGGGGGGGTCACCGGAGCTGCCCAGCCACCGTGCTCGTGGTCTCACCGGACCCCTGGAGCATATAGCTGGAGGGCCCCCACCAGGGGAGTAACACAGAGCCGAGTCACTGGGCAGCAAGGCGGCAGAATTCATTACATCCATTACCAACAAAGGAATAGTGCGACTTGACTTCAGCCAGGCTTCTCTGTGAAGCTGATCGGGCCATTTAATGGGCCTTTGGACCTTTCGGGGCGGGGGGAGCAGGAGAGAGGGGGAGGCTTGCTGTAGACCGGGTGGGAAATGCCTACTTCAGGATATGTGGCATAGCGTTCCAGACTCGTAATGGTGGAAAAGCAGAGCTGCAACAGCTCCTGTTTCTGCTGCCAAAGACAACAGCTGCGGTCTCAGAACCGTGGGCCCGGCGGACTTCCTGTCTGAGTGCCACCCTCTCCTACCAGCGGAGACCCCGTCCAAACACTCAGTCACGCTCCAAAACCCACGGCATTTTTAGGGAGGGGTCCTCCACCCCCCCCCCCCCCCCCGGCACCAATTAACCAAATTGTTTCTCCAGGACTGAAATGAGTTACAGATGTCTGAACAAAAAAAAAAAAAAAACAAGCCCACAGAAACAACAGCGTGGGATTGACCACCTCCCCCGACAGGCAGAGCACCCTTGAACACACCCCTTTCTGGGAGGGGCAGGAGCTACAGCTGAACCCAGCAGTTCAAAAGCAATTAGCAGAGCACCTCATGGGTGACCCCAGAGCAGCAGGACCGCACAGTGTGCCACGAACAGGAAGGGGGGCTGGTCCAAATGAGTCGATATTATCCCCCACCTTCCCAAACAGGCGGGCGTCTGTTTCGTTTTATTTATTCCTTTTTCGAATGCGACGGTTTGCGAATCCCCGATTCCCTGTAACTCTGGATACGACACATGAATGATGCGATGCAGAGTGAATAGGAGGGGAGCCATAACGGCATGTCACATGCACCGACACATGCAGACAATGGGTCGACACGCTCTGACGTGCCCCGACACGCCCTACTCACCGACACTCCTTGCCAGGTCAGCTCCCAGCACGCTCCAGCCTCCGGGCCCCGCCAGGTGCTTGAGGGCCAGCGCCAGGTTCTTGTCCAGCCTCTCGCACTCCTTCAGGGGGATCTTGCACTCGTCCAGCAGCATGGCGCCGTCCAGCCAGTCGTCCCGCCTCGCCGACTTCACCAGGAAGTTGGCCATGTCCAAAGCAAGGTCCTGGACGAACTGGAAGTGGTCTTCAGCCACCGGGTCCACGGAGCCCCCCGCCCGGGCCGAGCACAGGGTCACCCGGACCGACTCGCAGGAGTTATGGGCTGGTGGGGGGGAGATGTGGAGATGGTACCCAAGGCTCAGTGATAGCAGGGCAGGCCACAGAATAGATGTGATAGCTCAATATTAATGTGTGTTCCCATCCCTCTCCAGAGCAACTAACTCAACTAACTGAACTTTCAGTGACCTAAAGCAGGTGGCCTACAGGTGGCAGGCTACAAAAAAAAAAAACATGGAGCAACCAAAGTCTACTGGCCAGAGACCACCCAAGAGACTGTCTGCCTCCAGCCACTGAAGCATCACTGCATGTCAGAGGTCACTTGAGCAGGAGCCTTTAAAAAACAGCATACGGTGAGAGCAGCTTCAGGCAGACAGACGAGAAACAAGGAAGTTTCAGCTTTTGCTGATGACCTGACGGCACAGAGAGACGGGGTCCCTCTGCTCCCAAACAGACTGTGGGTGATGCAGAGACCCCGTGCGCCAAGCCTGACTGGTTGCCTTGACGATCCCTTAGTGCGTCTTAGCAACTGAAAACACAGCACATTCTTCACCGTGAGCAGACAGCGCCTAAATAAACCCTGGTTCTGAGTCCCACATGCTTACAGGCACAGGGCAGAAGAATCACAGAAACTTATTAAATGCTAATTTAGATGTTAATTAAACTCTATGGCAACTATACATTAGCAAACATACAATCCGACCGATTTCACCAAACAAGTAAAAGATATTGCCTTCTTTTAGTACAGGCAGAAAAAGAGGGCAGCTTAAACTACTTATAATTGTGTGAAACGAAATGGGACCGAAAACACGAGTGAGTCAGGCCGGCCCCCCAGGGAGCGGCCGTTATACATTAGAGGGAGTCGGTCCCATTCCCACAGAGCGGTCAGCCTAAATAAGGAGGGGGGGGGGGGGGGCAGTGACACACGGCCCTCCCTGCAAACACCAGCGAGAGATCCCGGAGGGCACAGCGCTTTAAGGACATTCTCAGGAACTCTTACAGTACCTCACAGCTATTAGTCAGTATCATTATTAATGGCAAGAATCCGAGTTTTAATTATTGTGGAATTTAAGCAGCTTTATCTATCCAACCTTCACACGCATCCTCCAAACACACAGCATCACCAAACCACTTTCAGTGCCACCCTCCCCTCATCTATTTTTATTATTAGAGATTTCCTCACTTGTGAGGCACTCTTGACAAGAACATCTGCAAAATAACATTTTAATGATAAATATCATTTTTCTGAACAAAACACACTATCTCTGAGCTTCACCCCAAAGGATCACAGGTTGTACATGACGGCCCATATTAAAACGTCTATTGATCCAGAGTGACCCCCCCCCCCCCCAGGGCTTGCAGTATTTTTTCCTTTAAAATCAAACAACAATGTAACAATTAAAATTGTGTTCCGCGTCTTATTTTAGGTGGAAACTGCTGTTAAAAACATTACATGGTATTCGTGTTTAAATCACGCTCTCTCCCACAAAACCAGAACTTCCTCTTAGAAGTCTGGTCTCAAAAACGACCCTACAGGGAATGGACTAAGATCCTGTTCTTCCAAAAACCAAGAACTCAAGGCTTATTCTCCAGATAGCCACTGAAGCTGGGACACAGCTCAGTCCGTCATCCATAAAAAGTAGCTGTGAGAGGCTTCACCACGTATGTATGAATAAATGCAGATGCTTGAGAAACAGTAAGATCTAAACCTTCACACATTTCATGTTTCTCAGCTTTTCATCACGCTCCCTTCCAAAGGAAGCAGCATCAAACACAAATGCTGCTTAACTGGACACCTAACATGCGACGGCTGACAGAATTAGTCGAGCAGAATGAACACTGGCCCGTCAGGAATCCAGAACCATCTTTCACGCAAAAATGTTCCATTCTGGGGGGCACCTCATCTTGGGACCTACCGGGGCAGATGGCCTGCAGGGTGACATGGCTGACCCTCAGCGTGCTGGTCACGTGCCTCTGCGTACTGCCAGCAAACAGCAGATAGAACTCCACGTCCTCGTCATCGCAGAAACGGTCCTCGTCGCACAGCTGCACCGTCAGAAGACACTCGCCCTGCCACAAAGAGGAGATCGGGAGGAGTCAATGGCTAATTGGAAGAGAGATGTGGATCAAAGACAAAAACAATAGCTGGTAGCATCTAAAGGCCTTTAGATGCAAGAACATAAGATGCACCTTCAATCCATCTTACTCCTTTAGATATTTAATTGTTGGCAGTGAGAATAAATCTGAGGCCTGTGCTACTAGGCCAGACATCCCAGGTGTCACTTCACAACAGAAATATAAGGTGCTTCTCAATACCAAGAACGCAAAGATCATACTTGAGGCCTTGGCAAGAGCGGTCCTGCTAACGTGCCTCTCAAGAACGAACTTGGGATGCAATGAATCATGGCCTCGTTTGGCAAGGATGCAACAGATGCATCTTTGATTTTTGGGCCAGGGGAAGTACGACATCCGGGGATTATTACCGTCCTCCGTACGTCTGTTCTTGGTATTGGAACTCCTTCAGAAATGGAAGATGACGTAAAATGGGAAAAAGAATACAAGTACTGTACAGCACAGGGCTGTGGAGTCGGAGTCTGAGACAATTTTGGGTACCTGGAGTCGGAGTCGGCAAAAAGTTATCCGACTCCGACTCTGACTCCTACTAAATTTAAATGGGAATTAAAAAAGTAAGTTGAAATGTCCCAATTCACAAAC